AATAATAATAATAATAATAATAATCCGTATAATAAAATTAATGCTTTTTGCATAAAATTAAAAAATCAAGAATTACTCCCGCCAATATACGGTACTTTTTCTTACCGCCAGTTTGAAACTTTTCCAGATATTGTGACAGTTGGAAAATTAATTTTTAAGAATGCTTCAGGCTTGGTGTTTTTAAGAAAGTGGCATCCAGTCTGCGATTGCTCGTGTGCGGTGGCGATGGTACCGTTGGATGGATTTTAAGTACCCTTGACAGAGTTTGCTTTGCAGTTTTGGAAATTTTTTTATGAACTGAAAATCACACAAACTTCTTTTTAACAGTTACTGATAAAATTCTTGCAGCAGAGTAATAATAATTTGATGATTGATCCCATTATTAAGCATGAGCCTTTTATTTAACGCCATAGTTTAAGCTTCCTTTGATTCTGTCTCATTCTTATATACATTTTTAAGCTTTCAGTAATAATTTTAGATGAACTGGGCGAAGTATCCTCCAATTGGTATTGTTCCACTAGGCACTGGCAATGATTTAGCCAGGCAGTCATTTTCTTATGCTTCTGTTTATAATTATGCTGAAAACTGAGCTATATATTTTCATGTTCATTCAATTAATTATTCAGATTTAACATGCTAGTTCATTTCACTTCAGTTGTTGTCATTTTAAATTAATTCAGTTCAATTCAATGTTCAGATGTCTTGGTTGGGGTGGGTCGTTCAGCGATGAACCTTTGGCGGAACTTCTAAATGCTGTTGTTCATGAAACATCCATCACATATCTCGATAGGTCAGCCTGTTTTTCCGTTATTTCACTCCAGAAATCGGGAATGAGAAATCCTGAAGGTAGTTCAATTATCACTGATCGGGACATGGATCTAGTATCAAAATAAGGCTTTAAACTGCTTTCTACTTCTACTGAAAAAGAATTTACCAAATTCGATTAATCATTTATGAACTTTATACTTTCATTCTTTGGATACTCTCGCATAGATAAATACAGAGAAATTGTAGGTGGAATATAAATGTGAAAACCAATTTGCAAATGTCAAATATACAAGCGGATGAAATCGACAAAGCTGCGCAGAGTGTATTAACACTGACAGTGATGAACAATTATTATAGCATTGGAGCCGATGCTCATGTCGCCTTGCAATTTCATCATTCTAGAAGTTGGTTTGAATTTGAGTTCCAATGAGTCTTGTTTCTTTTTCTTTTAATTTCTTCAATTTCTAGAGGAAAGAGATGTGGCAAAAAAGGTATAATTTCAACGATATAGTCGCGCTAATTGTTGACTTCTGTAGTGATAATCATCTATTTATTTTTGTAAGAATTTGCATTGTTTCAGGTGCAAATCCACAAATGTTGAATAGCAGGCTGAAAAATCGAATAGCGTATGGTGGACTAGGTACCATTGATTTGTTCAAGCGAACTTGGAAACTTCTCCATGAATATATCACTCTTGAGGTAATTGACATAATAAATTATTTCCCGTATGTATTTGCCCCTCAAAAATATCACAGCTATATTTATCCGTGTACAGTAAAACTGCGCAGTTTGTCTGTTTCTTTCAAGCTTTTTAATCTTTAAAATTTACGTTTTTTTTTATTTTTTAAAGTGAATTTCAGTGCGATGGAATTGATTTGACTTCAAAAATTAAAGAATTCAAATTCCACTGCATATTGTTCCTTAATATAACGTATTATGCTGGGGGGACAGTTCCATGGAGCAGCGATGATGAGGAGAAATACCGATCTTCCAGCTGTGACGGCAAACTAGAAGTTCTTGGTTTCACAACTGCTGCACTGGTGCATTTTTTGAAATTTTAAATTCAGGGAAAAATTTCTAAAAATACTCATGGAAGGAATAGGTAATCGGAGAGCGTACAAATTTCTTGAAATATTAAATCTTTAAGATTGTTAAGACCAAATCACTATCAGTCACAACTTGCATCCATTCTTTTATTGTACCTTTTATCTATTTTCAGTCTTCTAATTCGTTTTCACTTTCAGGCTGCTTTGCAAATGGGTGGCAAAGGTGAGCGAATAGCACAGTGCTCTCATGCTCGTATCACAACAAGCAGAGCAATACCAATGCAAGTGGACGGTGAACCATGTCTTCTAGCACCGAGTACTATTGAAATTACCTTTCATAGCCAGGTTGATTCAATTTTAATGGATTTCATCTTTATCACTCTTCATTTTATCAACCTTCATTTTTATCACCCTTATTATTTTTTTAACATTCGACACTCTATTTCAATTTTTTTCCATTTCCTTTTTCTCCACTCATAGCTGTTTTAAACAATGATATTACAGGTTCCCATGTTGCGTCGTGAAAAGAAATCAAATTATATGCCAGGGAATCTTAAGAAACAACAAAAATTATCCAAACAGCAACGAAGTAACAGTAGTAGCCAAATGCCATTAACTCCAATAGACTATTTATTACCTGTACTACTGACTACTTCCATCGAATATAATGCTAATCGCGATAATCTGGAACGACTCAAAGTAACTGGTAATATTGCCTTACTGATTCTGGAAATGTCCTTGGACAGTGTTTCTTTTAAGATTTTCTTTTAAGAGAGATTTTACATCTTGAAACATTTTGATTGTTGCTTGTTATGTGAAAGCAAAATTTCGATCTTTTAACTTTGTTTGTTAGTTTGAAAAAATTTCCCAACTGGAGTAGAATGTATATCACAGTGTACTGGAATGTGAAGTAGGACATGGCCTCATCTAAGTTACCATTTCTCGCGAAACCGTGTTTGATATCATTAACAACTCAAAATTATATTTACAAGAATACAAAACCTGAAAAAAAGTTTAAGTTCATATAAATAAAAACTCTTTTGTAGCTATAGAAATTGGTAAAATTCATGTAGAAGCAGAAACCGAATTGGACATTGTACGACAAAAAATCGAAAAACTTATTGCCAGTTGCTCAGATTTGAATATGGGATCGAATAGCGAGTGGAGATTTCTTGATTGTTAGTGAATTTCTAATAATGAGAAAACAGAGGAAGCGTTGCTGTTTCCAGTTATGAGCAAAATTTTCATCTAATTTACTGATTTCCTGAAGACAATCTGTAATATGGCTGGGTTCTCATTCCATTTTATCACCATTTCAGCGAGTTGATTGGCATCATTTCTTACCATTCATTAACTAATTTTGATGTTATTTCTCGATCTACAGATGTAAGAAGCGCCGAAGAGGGTGTATTCCGTGTGCACCGTTATCAGGAACAATTTATGACATTGTCTGATATATGCTGTTTGGAAGAATGCATCATGGTTCTGAATAACGTTTTGGTCAGACGAATGCATTCATCTGATGAAGCTTCAAATCAAATGAAGTAATTTTTTAAAGTATTTCATTTTATTTAATTGATTAAAATATCTATTTACCGGCAATTCGCAGGCTTGCTGACAGATCAAAATTTTATTTAGACGAAAAATAATGATTCATTTTAATAAGAAGATTGCTGAGGACAAAAACAACAAGTTAACTGAGGATAAAAACAACTGCTACAGGTTTGGTATGGCTGTTCTCAAGATTTTAAAATTTTGAGTATTTATCTGAGAATATTATATAAGGAAAAAGATCTATAAATATTCATAAATTCATCTACAAGGTTCCTTACCCAATTTCAGGGAGAATATAGCAGATCATGATATTTGCGTAAAAGATGATACACTGCATGTCACATTCCAGTGTGATACTCATGAAGCGCATTTATAGCAACAAACAAATATAACCGATATTTTGTTTGATACAGAGGATTCTACACACATAGAAATCTTTCTGTGGAGAAAAAAGGATCTTCAAAACGAAGTTCTAGATCTGAGTTTACAGAAAACGCGAGCATTTCTCCGTTAGTATCATATTTATAATTTTTTCATATGTGATCAAAAAGCCCATTCCTGTTTCGTTACCATAATAGCATTTTTTTGTTGATTGTATTTTTCTCATTCTTGACTGTTTTGATGTCGTTTCATGAATCAAAAATTTGTCAATGAAACTCCAGACAGTTCATCAGTTCATGATGGTCTGAAAATGTAACACTGTTAGTCCTACAGTTTTCTTTAATACTGTAGATGCACTGTACTCTCTGAGCTTTTGAAGTTATTGTTTTTAATAAATCAATTAGACTGGTGTGGAATATATTATACGAGAGAAGCGCTGATTACAAATCATGAACTACTTGGCAGAAATTTCAGTTTAGCGTCTCATTTTGTAGTAGTAACTTCTCGGCTTATGTTATTTTGCCCATTCCTTTGCACGCGAAGATTATCTTCTTCATCAGAAAGTGACAGTCGAGTTCAAAGTTTTTTCGGGTTTCCAAGAAAATCGAAAACTTTCGAGGTTGTTGTGAAAACCCTTTCTCTCACGAACTGGAAATTTCAAGTTTTCCTTCCCTTTTCACACAAAACAATGAATTGCACTGGATTAAATGAAATGCAAATTTTCGGAGGCGCCCGCTATAAAAAGAGGTGTTAAAACACTGCAGTCATAGTTTTAAATCATATAAATCATTAAGCGGTTCACTCGTCAACTATAAATGACTACAGTGGAGGGTTACAGGCATCACGACAGGGAGCAGTTGAAGATGCGAAGAGGTACATCTGGTTTTTAAATAAATTTTGTTGAGACAGGGATTGTTGAAGATATACAAACACTTTTACATTACTAAAGCACTAAGGTCATTGATAAGTATTCAGAACAATATATAAAGAAGGAATCTGGAACTGATGAGGGACGAAATAAGAAAACAAATTGGCGCCATTTTTTCATCGTTTGCTCGGTACTCATCTCTGCATATCTCATTAACGGTGAACATGCTCAGACAGTATGCAATATATGCACCACCGTACCAGCTGCTATCTTTACTTATGGACAACTTTCTGACCACGCAACTCGAATCTTCGCTTATGTAAGTCTAAAATATAAAATGTAAGTAGTGATCTTTTAACTGCTCGTATAACACTGTTACTGCTCCGCAGCAGTTTTGGATCATCAGAGCAAATAAAAATATTTGAGTTCTATCAACAGCAATTAACAAATATATCAAAAAGTGGCTGGGATATGATGAAACTAATTGGTTAAGGAAGTAATTAAATAAGAATTGGTTAATAGCCCGAAATTAATACTGGAATGTATGCTGTAGTTGGAGTGAAAAGGCAAAGTTTTAGAAGGCAACACTTTTCTACTGGTCAATTCATGGTATTTTGGTTGCATTTGACAGTGTATTTGTGGATGCATTTGGATACTTTTTTGGCAAATTCATCCTTCTCGTTGTTCTATTTTTCAATGTCGTTTATCAGCACGATGCCGCCAAAAGCCTTATGGAGCAACAACAACGCCGTAACTCAATGGTTAATTCGATAATTAGCTCCAATACACCTGTTCGTTTCCCAGGTTCACCTTACGGATCACAAATGGGTCTCAATACCGCAATGACAATCACCGATGCGACGCAGTTTTCTGTGGAAGTACACATTTGTAAAGATTTTAACAATCAGAAATTTCAAATCATTAGGCAATCTCTAAATCATTAGAAATTAGAAAAATAAATATCTTAAAATCATTGGGAATTTCAAGTCATTATAATGTATTTTTACAAAATCCAAATAAAAGAAAAAAAGAAATCTCTAATATATATATCTATTTCGAAAATCTTCGGTTTTGCAGAGTCCCTTTAAAAGTTACGCAGCGTTACATCATAATAGCCTGACAACGGCGTATTCAATGGCTCGTAGTCCAGAGATGACCGCTTACTTAGATACCTCTTACACTCATGATGGATCTTTAAAAACCGTTGCTTCTACTGAAGTAAGCTAGTTGAAGCAATTAGAACTTAAGCAAAAATGGAAAGTGAGAACTTCGTTTACTTCTCATTCCTTAATCGATAATATACTTGAGCTTATTTTGCTACAGTTTTGAAAGGAAATCGAAGCATAAAAAAGAGTTTTAATTCATCCCACTTTCAATTAATATTGAATACAGGAACAATTCAATTTTGGAATACAGAAGCACCGACAAACTGCGCTAAGTGATTCGTCAGTAATGCCAGATTCCGGAGAAGAAAATGATAAATCAGAAAATGATGCTGTGAAATCAATTCCTGCTGGTGATTGTCAGAAAGCTGATACTGAGGTTTATTGTTTACTTTTGCTGGAATCCTTGCAATTTCGTTTAATTTCGTTTCCAAACATGGTAAATTCAGGGATTCAATAATCAAGAAATCATGGATTTTGCATTCAGGCAGATGGTTCACTGCACTCCAGCGAATATTCAACATCCGCCACGGTAAAAGAAGAAGAGACTCTTATTACTAACCCATCTGAATATGTAATTATTATTGTCTTGTCAAGAATATTTTGATAATTTCCTTGTGTTTCCTGTCACTTTTTTAATACTGGAAGTTTTATGAAGTTTCAAAATTTTCGCTTGTTCTTCAGATAATATTCAAGTATCCTTTTACGGAAATGGTGACAATTTACGCAAAAAATAAACACACTCGTCCGATAATGTGGGCTTTAAAGACTAATGCAATTAAGCGTATGATTGCACAGCCTACTTGTGGAACTCTGGCAAAAGACGCTACCGTACACGTATGTTTAAACGGCTTAGAACTTTCTTATTTAGAAACTAACGACAACTATGAGTTTGCTATCTGATGACTATTTTGCAGATTAAAATTGGAGTTACTGCAATACCACCTGAGGAATCGAATATGATTGATCGACTTGCCATTGATTATCGCCTAGTCGACGATGACACAATCAGTTTTGACCGCTCATTTTTATGCAAAACTGAAGATCCATTCCGCAGACGGAAAAAGTTCAATATTTATTATGAAAACTGACAGCAAAATTGGTGCATGCTTGAAGAGAAGATCTAGCGCTATTTTCCATCAATTGAGTATTTATCCATTTATTAACTAGTGAATAAAAACATTTTCATCCTATGTCTCATGTTTGAAATAAGGCGGAAATCGTTGACTCAAACTTTAACCAATACTGAACAGGATCGGAGTTAGAGGGAAAAGGAAAAGAAGTGAGGATATTCATTGTCTTTTTTTAAAATCAACATTATATATACATTTAACTCATTTTGATGTAAATTAACAGCGAAAAATTTCTGCAAACGTTTCATGTTCTGTCTGATCCGAGCAGAAAGTACAAAAAGTATATTTTTCTAAAAATAGTCTATCAAAAAGATACAATGATTAATTGTCCTAAATAAGAGTTGTTTGATTTAAGCACAGATGAACAGTGATAACACATGTTCAGAATCTTAAAATTAAAAGTTACTGTCTTCTTACATTTCGGATTCGGATTTATATGAACGTTTGTCTTTCGTTTTTTGGCTGAAATAACGTTGCCATTTTATCAGAAAATTCTGATGAGACGGATTCAAACGAGAATTGTCCCGGAAAATTCGTGAGTGTTCTGGAAGAGCTCATAGAAACTTGTTTTTCCAAATTATTTGTTTCAAATAGAAAATCGTTCGGCGAAGAATTATCTTCATTAGTGAAATTAATGGACGATGAATGACTTGGAGTTGAATTCGTTGACAATTGATTCCCAGACAGATCAATGGCGCAAGCCAGTTTTTTTGTCATGATGGCTGAAGTACTTTTTGGAGATGTCGAACATGAAATGGGACTTTTAGATCGTTTTATCGCAACGTCAAGAAGTTTAGTTTCCATTTCCGATTTATCTTTCTGCTTCCACTTGTTTGATTTGTTCGCAAGATGTGTTTTGATATTTTTCCTGGAATGAAATTATTTAAATTCTTAGAAATTTAACTATTTCGGAGCTAAGGAAATTATTGAGATATTTATCGATAAATATTTATGGGAAGGAATTATTACCAACAATTTAAAGGCCAGCAACAGAACGGATTACATAGACCGTACTGGCAACATGAATAAATAAGTTCGATGACTGTAAGTAAGCTTGCGCCGAGGAAAAGACCAAGTGCTCCACCTACATCACCTGTAATTGAGAGATGGTTGATATTTGATGTTATTGCAGATTTAACTGGAATTTAGAAAAAATAATCATTTAGCTCTCTAAAACCTACATGCCAAACTCCAAATACTATAGGTGCTCTCTTGTCGCCACGTCTCAATGTTCATCCGATGTAGGAAAACATTCACCATAGCGAAATTTTGTCTAAAACAATTAATTTGATTAAAAAAAGTATGTATGAAGATTTGGTTACAAACAATGAAAAATAATTTGGATTGAATGATTGATTTAGAAAAAGTAAGTCAAAGTCCCAATAGTAAATGATAGTTGTCATTTAAAGCTTGCCGAGAAATAATTCAAACTTATAAATCTAATTATAAATTTTTTCTGAGGTTTATAAAAGATTTACGGCAGTGTGATCGTCTATATAAAGAATGAAACTTTATGAAAATTCGTACTCTACGAATGCCGATCCAAAATCAAAATTGGCCAAATAAGCTGGCAATTCCTTTTGGTATAAATTCGAATATGCTGACTGCAAGTTAAGAGTATTAATTTAAATAGTTTAGCCCTACCAGAAACTAAAAATATGGTTTGATTTAAGCTCATGAACAAATGAATAAATGAAAGTCATGAAAATTAATAAACAAGTGAAAATAAACTTTTTTTACAGATTGTTCGAGACATTTCACTTTATTTGTGCATTTAACAAATACTAAACACTAGGACTGCATTAAGCAGGCCTATTAAACTATGGTGTATCAATTGATATTGACTAGCTTTCCGGCTTGCACAAGTCATACTACAGTTAAATGCATGTAATGGATGCAAACTACTCGTGCATGTACCTGAAATTCATGCATCACTTTCTTGAATGAATTCAACAGGATGATACTTTCATTTTTCACATCATCAAAAGTGCAGTCGACAATATCGCGGACGAATGCAGCGAATTGTTCTTTGTGTTGCGTTGTCGTATCACCAAAGTATAGCATAGAGCCCATCTATAACATTTCTCACTACTTTTTAAGACATTGAATTTGTTAAAATGAAAGATTAGTTGTCAACCAACTTGGTACAGTGAATTTATGTCCAAAAGCAAAGAGAATATGAACTATTGAAATCAAATGAATTCAAATTACCGTACATAAGAAAAAAGACTTAACCAAGCACCTGTAGACCTCTACCATCGTCAACAGCAGCAACGAAATTTGGTAGTTCGTCATCAGCCATATCAACAATATTACGCACCAAATTTTCATCCAAATCTCTCAGCATTGGATTGTACCAGTTCTGTACGATATTGCATCCGATCATTCTTAGGTATGCACATTTGGAAACTGCTCAGTCATTAAATATCAAGATGGCAAGTACTTATTTTAATTTCTCCTAGTAAAGAAAAACAATACTTCAAAGAATTCCTGATCAAAGAAGTGACGCATATTTCGTGATTGCATTTTTTCCGCCCATGCACGTCGTTGTAGCCTGCCTGATTCGTACTGCAATCAGGTTTAATCTAATGACCAAACTTGGTTTCGTAGAAAAGATAGAAAAGTTCTGTGGAATTAACAATTCCATGTTGAACGACTTTTTGCCTATTTATATATCCCTTTCACCCGAAAAATAAAACCTGATTTGCCAAAAATAAAATAGTATCCATTCGTTTTAGATTAACGCCAAGTGTTGATTTGTAGAATGATGGATTGTATATCTTGTACAGTTTGGTGATAGTATTAACGAATCTTTGCATCTCCTTTACTACTTCATCGAAACGATCACCAAAAGCTTCGCGAAGTTGCACTACAGTATGAAACTGCTTGGCACCACTGATATCTTCTTTTGGCTCGAGGAGCTGCAAATAAATATGGGCAGAATTGATATCCAGAATTTAGTTTACTTTTACCTAGACTCTGTTAGACTAGACAATCATCTAAAAACCCATACGTAGGCATTTTATGTCATAAATTCTCTTGAAAAGAATTAAAGAGGACACACTCGATATATGACAGAAATCCGTGCTTCTTCAGCTGACGATGATGGATTTTCGATGGCAGCAAACATTTTAGCATGATCGCTAGGTACTGTACTGAAGCAAGTGATCGACTTGTTCAGTCGTTCAAAAACATTTTGATACGTCTCATCTGTCCATCCCCAGCCATTATCAACTAATCTGTAAAGTATAGTCTTATTTATAAATTATCTTTACTTTACAGTAAACAATTTTCGAATTGTCTTAAGCAAAGCTCTTCTCAACTTCAAATTTCAATAATTCGGATATCATCATTCCGCTCCATAAACTTGTAGCTTCTTTGGTAAGGAACTGTAGCATTGGCCAAATGTCTTGCAACACTGGTTGCTCAAATGCCATTTTCATCGTTTATGATTTTTCTATCAACGAAAATAAAATTTCAGCTTAATTCTAGACAATGCGACACCATCGAACAACGCAGGAAATAAATCATCCTATGTATTCATTCTTACAAAACAGTTAATTTGCTCTAAAATTTATAAATTGATGATGAATAAGATAGAGTTACTTTTGTGTTGCTTCTTGTAGTTTCAATATCATTCGTTTCGTTCTCAGTCTTATATCTTCCTGATATCGAGACTGTTTCTCATAGGCACGTTGCGCTGCACGCTTAATTTGTCTAACCTTGAAATAATTTTTTTTTTTAGTCCAGTAAAAATAAATAGCTCAAGTGATGCTTCAGTTGGTATATCAAATTCATACCTGTTGATTACTGAGTAGCTGATTCTCCTCACACTGGAAATGCTCATCACGATGAAGTTCTATATTCGCCTTGAAATTTTAAAAATTTGTATCGGTCAATTGAAATTCCAAAATTCTAACATTCGAATTCTGTCATACAAAAGACTTCAATGCTATGATGTCACTCAAATCCCTTAATTTTTAATTCAATGTTTAGGACAAATAATCCGATGTTAATATACGTTCTATTGCTGGTTGCTTAAATGTCTCGATTTTTGAATTAATCATTCAAATTAATTTTTGGCGCTGATATTTCCATAGTTAAGAAGCTGGACTTAACTTAAAATAACCCATTCAGGTGCAGTCTGCTTACTCCAAACGTCATCACATAAATGTCACAAATTTTCAAAAAAATCAGTTGAGCCGCATTTTCAAAAGCAAATATCACTGATAACAGACAAAACTAAAGTCGCCATGGATAAACCATTTGATTTCAACTTCAAGTCTACATTCACCAGAACTGTGCAGATGACCAAACTGTACAAGACTTTACGTACTTACATCATTCTCGACATCGTAGTCATCAACAACATCCTCCACATCCTCTTCTTCGGCAGTATCGATCAGCGAGGGAAATATACTGTTTGGCAATAAAGTCATATCCTGCCAAGCTGTATAATCGATTTGATCACATGGTGAAGGACAGCCAAAGCGATTGAAACTTCTTTTTTTACCGAACTGTAGAGTGGGTAATGCACATGTGAAATATTGATCGACATTGCAGAAGCTATACGCTGAAATCATTTCTCTCCTGACTGAGCGATCGGTGTGCACTTCAGACTGAACCGGAATTGAATGAATAATATTCAATTCCTCTAATAACTGATAAACGTTCCATTTTCACCTATGAATCTTCTTTAAAAGAAAGGTACATAAATGAAGATGGAAGAATCAGTTGGATTACCGCCTGGATTTGGGTTATATGCCCGCCTCATGGAACATTTGCACTTCTTTTCAATTTCATGCAAATATTTCCGAATGATACATGTGTGGACATTTTCCGGATCGTCAACTGCTAACGTTGTTGTCCGGTATTTCTCGCTTTTCTCCACACATCCCGCACCTGCATATTTATGCCTCTAAAAAAACAATTTAATTTTCATTGATCCACTTTAGGCAAAATTTGATGAAACTCTCCATTACATCGAATTCACCTTTTTTAAAACAAATTTTGTTTCTTATTTTTGCTTAAATAAATATTTAATATAGGAAAGTTGCCTTTTGCATCTTAAACGGAATCTCCATTGTATATCCAGGAGGAACATTAACACCATCAAGTGACGATTCCGGTGTGTCTGTTTGATTATAAATCAAGATTTTCAATCCCGGAAGGCTCATAGTCCGAAAATATGGCGTACAACTTTCTACTCTCTCATATCGCTCGATATTTAGTAATAACTTGAGACCATTGTCAGAGCCTGAAAGTGAAAAAGTGTTAATTAACATACTTTGCGCCTGTTTAAAATACCTTTCTAATTTTCATTCTGATCAAGCAAACCGTATTTTATCTGACGGAGAACTGAACAGTCTTTTTTCATTTTATTAAATATAAAATTTGTTTGCTCCATTTCCTGTACTAATATGTGTAAAAATTGAGCATAAACTAATTTCAAAGACTTAATTTTAAAATTAAGCTTGCTTTCATAAAATCTTACCACTTGAAGATATATAATGTGGATTATTTGGATCCGTGTTTATGGCCCAACAAAGCCCCGTAAGTGTCCAAACTGCTTTGAAATTTGATAATCGGCAATTGGTACCATTCGGCCAAGTGCAACTACATCATACTGGGCTTTTGTAACAAAATAACACAAAACAAGAAATTTTGAAGAATTTTTTGAGGTTTACAAAAGTGTGCAATCTACGCAGAATAATTATCTAGTGACCTTTAGAATTAGAAGCATGCAGAAAGATCTTTATGAATCTCATAGGATGAAAATAGCAAAAATATCCAGCAAACTCTGAATCCGGCGGAAAGAATCTATTAGAAACGAATCTAATTATTATTCAAAGATCGTTTCCTTACCTGAGTATCATTCTAGATTTCCAGTGCGCCGCATTCCTAAGAAATTTTACAGCATCCATGTCCCAAGCATTTTCCAGCACCTTATCGAACACTGTTAAATTCATTTCGCTAGATACACTATTATTATTTCTTGGCTCTTTTGGTTTGCGATTTTGAATTGCTGGACCCGTCAAATAGGTTAGTCTGAAAACGTTCACATTTCTCTGTTTGATTTTATTAATCTAATAAAAAATCCCCGATTTCTAACATATTGGTAGTTATCAATTACATAACTCCATTAACCAGTGAAGTTTCACTTACATTTCTGATATACTTCGAAATTTCACGTCCATTTTACTTGTAACTTTTACCAACTTAATCATAGTTTCGTTAATTATTGCAGAGTATTAGTTTCAATTGTAGTTTCCAGAAAACTAACTCGAAATTTTGTCTTTTCATTTTTCCAAACATAAGGGTTACAATGAATGTAATGAAAAATTACTTGTGCTTACCTGTACTGATTATTATTGCAGATAGCAACAACAGGAAATGGTATTTGATTCGGATAAGCTGCTTCGATATTTGTTGCTACAGGTGTAGTTAAGTACATATTGATTTGTTTAAAACTTTGGAAACATGCTAATAATACGAATATTATGATTATTGCTGCCCAAAAATATCTGGAAATTAATTTGTATATAGAGGTAATCAGTAATCGAATAGTCCTGAGATCTGTACCTATCTCCTTCTAGTATCCAGCTGTTCTCCCACGTATGGGTGCTTGTGACAAGAGCCATCTTCGCCCTTCGTT